TGAGTGGATGTTTTTTAATACGCTGCGATAAAATTTGGGGTTATTATGGAAAAGAAAGGGATACAAATTATCCAGAGTTAAATGTTTATGCAAACGAAAGGGAAAAAAAAGCCGAAAACTAGCCACAATTGAGACAACGGAGATGGGATCGTTCACCTGGAAAAGCACGGACAAATAGAAATATTTATATTAAAACTCCTTGATCATTACCTTGATCATTACCATGGCTACCAGTACCGAGCGGAATGTTCTGCCAAAGTTATTAGTTGAACCTGTATGAGCGGCACCGTATTAGGCGGTCACCCTGTATTAAGTGGTCAAAAGTTCTGAATTTGTTTCCCCAAATTTCTGAATTTGTTTCCTCTATTAAGCGGTCACCTCCATCAAGCAGTCGTGATCACGTTTTACTGAGTGCCAACGGCTTGTTTTTGTTGTCCTCTATCTGTATTGTACAGTCACTGAAAGTAGGAGAATTTAAATAAAACTAAGAACAATCTTTCAAGTAATTTCAATTTATTTTTCTCACCCAAATTCAAAGTAAGTAGTTTTTCCGAGCGAGATTCTGTTCATTAAGAGGTCATTTATGGCACTATGTGGCGTTGTTTATAATTTTTTTTTCTAAAATATCTCTACTCTGAGGAACCTGAATTAAGCTACTCCCCGCGGGTGCCCTCTTAATACGGCTCAACTGTATAAAGGAATATCAAGAATGCGTCTCTTGCGTGTTTTTCGGTGTTCCAATGACTTGTGGGCAGGCTTTTAGCTGCATCAATCCTTTCTGTTACAGTGAAATCCCGAAAATGGAGTAAAAAAAGGAATACTCGCTCATGAACAGGGCTATCTTCCTTAACATCTGTCACTTTCTTCATTTACCAGATTAGAAACCGGGGTTTGATACTCTGCCTGTGCAATGATAGCTAATGTAACTCGTAACAGGTATTTCCATAGTTAGTAGAGGAGACTGGTTATGAAAGTCGGCGAGCTTCAAAGACCGATGTCTTTGTTTTGATTTTTGCCTTGTCACGTGATCGCGACAGTGCACATTTATCAAACGATCATGGCGTCCGTCGAGTAGTTTCTTGTTAGTTGTGCGATATGTGTTAGGTTTCTCCGTAATTTTCATCAGTATATGTTTGTCATTTTGCAAGAAATATAAAAGTTATTACTCTACTAACTATGGTATTTCATTTTAATTTTGGGAGAATCTAAGTAACCAATATCCACAAACAAATGCAGAGGTGATGAAGCAGACCCCCAAAAACTCAGTAAAATCTGGTTACCACGAGCCATGCAAAAGTATTTTTTAGACAACCAAATGAGACAAATGAAGCTGTCATTTTTCTCAACACACATTGCGGAACTTTCAATTTTCCATTAGTTCACATTAAACATATCCAGTGCCTAGACCTCAAAAAAAGAAATTTATTTTTGTTGTGACAATTATTCCGCAGAAAAATAGATTGTTCCCACTAAAACTTGATAAAACATTTATGATTTCGGTTTGTTTTCATATAACATTCACACAACATTACCCATTTTCCACTTTACAAACAAATAACAGTGTTAAAAACTCTACCTTAAAAATAGGCTGTCATAGGTAGAGTCTGTGGTTCAACCGACCCACGAGACACAGTCCACCCGAGGACTGTGGTATGTAAAGCTTCATTTGCAAGTAAATGGCCAAAAAACCTCTCTTAATCCACTCCTCCAGGCGTGCATGCACATCAAGATCAATTAGTGAATACAAAACTCTTCAGTGCAGCCTTTTTTAAGTTCTTTTCTTCTCTGGAATGATTCAAATAGCTGCTGATAAAGAGAAACTTTGCAGCTGACTTCAGTTCGCTAAAAATAGCCGAAAATACTCTGTAAATCTGCCAGCCATGCAACAGAACACTACAATGAGATAATAAAGAAGGCTCATGTTACTTTTTCGTTTTTAGGCACACCATCTATCACGGAATAGAGAGCGATCATCGTGACCAATTAGCTTGCAGTCTTTGTGAGGAACGCTAATAGATTTACACTAACTTTTGTGTGAATTTTGAAAAAGAACCTTCAATATTTTCTCCCCAAAAAAGATCGTACAACCGATGTTGTAAATAAGGACACTGTCAGCTTACAGATCTGATTAGTTATTTCAGTTGGTGTTGGAAGATTCAGCCAGTAATCGGAGTGGACCAGTAACATAGAATAGTTCAAGAAGTATTAAGCTCACCTTGCGCATGTATGTTTGAAATTAAATGAAAAACGCGCATCTATTTAAACCAACAAAGCGCAACTTCATGTAAATCTTTGCATAATACGCTGACAGCTGTAAATATTTAATTTGCAATGGAACAGACGTATCGAAACTGGAATATTTGAGGAAACACCTCAAAGAAATTGTCGTCAAATAAAACTATGTTGAAAGTTCCAGTTTAAAAGTAATACTTTCATACGACCGATAACCAACCGACGGATTCTTTAAAAGCTCCATCTCCATGATAAAAACGGCAGGCCCTAATACACTTGAGTAACGCATGTAATGTAAAAAGTACTGGGCTCTTTATTCACGAAAAATTAAAAATGACTTTACCTTTGAATTCTATCAAAACTACTAAATTGTGATTGAGGTATAATTCAGCTCTCCGGAGTAACATTCAGTCGTCTTTCATTCCTAAAATTCGAGTTATTGAAAGGTTCAGAAAACTGTAACCAGTAACTAATAACGATTAGACATAGCCTTTATGTGATAGTCTCTTACACTGGACAACACTGTAACAGTCCTAGAGAATCCACTGACGCTTATTTGGCTCTTTTGAATGATTTCACATTTCTGAAATGTGTCAGTGTGAGGCCGTACATGCATCTTTCGCCCGAATGAATCGATAATTAAATGCTAGAGATTTGAAGGTCATCATCGACTAATCCAATTAACATCTTACATCAACTATGCAAACAAACAACTTACTTCACAGCTCTAAAACTTGTATGTCAATTGTACTTTCCAGTCATTTTCACCTCTTAAAACACCACATTGAGGATGATTATTCAATTCTTCATCTTCGCAGAAAAAACAGCCGGTGTATCGCGACTAATGTTCAGTTGTTATAAGCAGTGAACGATTGATTAAATACTCACAAAGTGAGTCAGTTGTCGTTTCGGATCGATATGTTAGCTTCAGTGAGGCACTCTTCACTATAGTTGTTTTAAACCTTCTCCAATGTTTAAACTACGAATGTTTTGTGCACCGGGTCCTTCGTGTGTCTCATGAATCACACACACTACGTTACACTACGTTAATAATAAAGGATTAATTAAACACAAAAACATTTGAACTTACAAGAACTGACCCTGCTATGCAGAACGTGGTTTAAAGAGGACAATCTGTTCTCCTCAAAACCTTCAAAAAAGATCACGACGTATGTACATAAATACGTACCACAATAATCAGCCGATGGAGAATGTTATCTTGTCACTTCCTGGGATTCGATTAATTCTGATCTTCTTAGCAACTTGGTAAAGTATTCACAAGGTTAAATTTTATTCAAAAACACAAATTATAGAATATGCATCACAATACAAGGTTAAACCCTTGATAGTAATTTGACCACATTCATTATCTCCTTCACACACCTCCTATGTGTGTCTTATCATTACAGGTCAAGTACAAGGCCAGCTGCTAATGGCTCCTTGGGTCTCTTGTACAGTATGGTATAACAAAGGTTATAAATCGTTCAATCCGTTTTAAGTCAATGTATGAAAGCGCTAATTGTCACAGATCCCCGGTTCTATACTTTGCAAGAATATTTAAGAGTTTTGTCAAGCTATGTGAACACTCAACTGGAATTTTTTCGATTCCTTTCAGGGGGGATTAACTTCTATCAAAGTTAGCCTTTAAGTGGGTTTCAACTGGTGCTGTGATTCGATTCGGCAAACGAAAACAATCGACTCCCAAAGCCACTTTTCACAATTAACGTGCCAGCTTTCGCGCGGCTAAAGTTCTCCGACGAAGGCCAGGGGCACCACTTAAACGTTAGACTATAAACTTCGCTTCGACAACCTATCTACTTTAATCATCCTCCAGTTGATAAACCAGACATTTCACTTGAGGTCTATTGAGTTCGGAACTATCGGAAAGTTTGTTGCAAAGGTTGTTAACTTTCCTCTTTAACGCGAACCGCATGGTAAACTTAGGTACCAACAACAAAGATTAGTTAAGGACAAGTACAAACCGAAAAACGGACATGAAGCGGTTGACACGATCAACTGCTCCAATTGCCAAGCCTCCTACATCGGAGAGATTGGCAAGAACGTCAACACAAGGCTAACGGACCACAGGTGAACGGCGAGAAATGGTGACGTCAGCGATCACATTCATGAACTTCATCGACTCAGTAACCGCACCATTGACTGGGACTCTGCGCGATATTGACCTACAGCCTACCTATTTTTAACGACTAAGACAATGTACCCCCAGAGACAGAAATTGGATTGTTTTCTTTGTGTTCAATATGAAATCTAAATTCAAAATAAGCAGAAACAATAATTTCAAAAAAATTTTTGTGAAGCATTAACCACCAATACCTACTTCATATATGCTCCGTTTATTGATAAAAGTAATTTCTGTAAAACTAATTTTTTTATTTCATTACATTTGGACAAAAGTCAACGATGATATCATTACAAAAACAATGAGCTTAACTGCAGTAAAAATTTTATAAAAAAACACTTATGTTATTAGCTTAAAATAATTCAGAAATCTACCCTTGGTTAGTGTCTATAAATTCTATTACAATTAAATTTCACAAATTTGTCTAGATGTCTATTGAATATTGTTGTTATTATGTATATTATGATTTGACCGTTGTTATTTGAACTTAATATATTTCATATGAATTGTTACTTTGACTTACGATTGGTCCAGGTGTTTCTTTTCATTTTTTTTATTCAAACTTTTTTTAAAAAAATTAGCATAACCGTCTTTTTCGGTTGAGCGGAATAAAAGAAGCAAAAATTCGATGAATTGTTACTTTGACTTATGATTGGTCCAGGTGTTTCTTTTCATTTTTTTAATTCAAACTTTTTTTAAAAAAATTAGCATAACCGTCTTTTTCGGTTGAGCGGAATAAAAGAAGCAAAAATTCGTTTTCAATGGTGTAAAATTATTAAATTTGACAGTCCTAGAAATTAATTAAACGTAAAAGGCCTCAGCGTTTGCCTCTTTTAATTGCTACAAAATAAAATTTTAAATTCAGCAGTCTACAAAAATCCATTCACTATTTTCAGAAAAACAGTTCAGTAAAATCACACTGTCTAAGAATTCCATTGACAATAAAATTCAAATTCAGCTTTTGTTTAAAAATGTACTGTCTAAGAATTATTTAATCCTAAATATCTTAAAAATTGCAGTAAATGAGAGGAGTTTCAACGAAATAGTTTCTAATTACCATAAAAACGCTAAGAAAGGAATAAAATTTAATGTGGTGTTTCCTCCCTCCAAACAGCATCGCAATGTCAAAGAACAGTGTCAGCGCCTCAGCTGTAGAGTTGGTTCCATCACATATATGGAATGCCAGCAGTGATACCACTTTCAATACCACACTCATCTGTGCCTCGGCGGATGTAAAAGAATCCTATAAAAACGAAACAAACGAACAATCAGCTTGAGAAAAACGAGAATAAAATGTTCGTTTAGAATCACGATGTCCCAATATTGAGCAACCATATCGCAAATCACGCGAGGTGCCTCTGCGAAATAAGCAGTTGTACACGAACGAATTTGGTATTTTAAAAACATTCTGAACGACCGTATATTTACGAAAAAAAAAAATTTCTGTGAATGCAAGACAGAGCACAACTCGAACTTATTGAAATGATAGCCTTGTTTGTCGCAAAAACATTCTTGGAAATTTGTCGACCGTCGTTGTTTTTTGAGAAACGAATAGAGAAACTAAGAGTTTTGAGGGAGAGGACGCCAACCGCAGGCTATCATGTTTATCATCTCGGGATAAGACTTTTACTAAAAAGGTTTCCCTCAAAACATGGAACGCGACTGAATATGCCCATCTTAAAACTAAAGTGTAACGAAGATATTTTCCAATTTTCAAAGATTATATATGACACGTGTGCATACACGGGCACATGCACATATTTCATGAGAAAAAGCCTACCATCCATTCCCCATCCATCTCCCCAAGAATTGGCACAAATCTACAAAAATAGAGAAAAATAATGGTTGAGTGGAACATCGTTAAATGTCATCGTCTACTGAAACATGCAGTCCAGTCTGGCAGCTCACACTACGGATTCTTCTAAAGCATCTTAAAAAGCGTTGTTAATTGGTTAGCCCTAATATCAGTCCAGTCCAGGTACTAGCACAACTGATCTGTTGAAGCTTCCCTAAATAGTGTTTATATTTGGTGAGCAATACTAATAATAACTCCATATAACACTTTATGTTAAGCACCTCCTCCCACTAAAGTTACAACATATCTTGTTCGCAAAAGTCTTCTTGCGTTCCATCATAAATGCTGCAATTGGATTGGCTAGGTAGAATAAAAGGAGTACCCCAACTGCGTGTAGTTGCAAGCGTGATAAAATAAAAACACGCGCTTGCCTTGTTGTTGAACTTTGAACGACTAATAGATTTATATTAGAACCATTGAATTATTTGCTCTCGATGTCTCTGAGTGATGGTTGATTCTGGCTTCACCCTCGTCAACTATCACGTGATAGAAGTCGTGAGTTCATAATTTTCCTGTTACATGGTAATCAATCCACCACACCAGTACCATGGATAACTTCAAGAATTCCAAACTCAAAATTTGAGTGCTTATAGAATCACCAAGATATTGTGGGCCTTTCTTTCTTTCTTAAATAAAATATTTAAATAAGAATAAGAAATAAACTTGGAAGTTTTGGTGAGCTCTGCAGTAAGAATAAAGATAAAAGTAATGCTGCATCCACACATGGGACAGAAAATTAAAAACTGTCCACCATATGATCTCATAAACATGCAACTGCAAATCCTTAAAGTATATGTACTATGTTGATTGTAAAGAATGTAATAAAAGAACATTATTGGTTGTTATGGGAAGAAGAAAACGAAGAACAAACGCTCCTACCCAGTAATCAATGCCTTCTGCAGACCGACCCCACCTATAAAGGAATAACAACTATAATTATTGTCAAGATCACTTTAAAATCGAAATTGTTTTCACTATTATGAAAGATCTTGATCACACAATTTTAGCAATGAACCACGGTAATTAAAATCACCTCACAAAAAAATTGAAGCTCATAAAATTTTAGAAAACCTCTACAGAAACAGAGCATATGAAATAGCAAAATTAGACACAACAAAATAATACAGCTTACAAAAAGAGGAAAACAGAAAAATTTGAAGTCATTACCAAAACTTACGAAAATATAACTTTGAAAATCTAACAACCTGGACTCTTCATGTAAGATACATGTTATCATATAACATATGAAATAAAAGTAGATTGAAAGTGATCAAAATGTTGTAATACATTTAAAGGTTACTTAAAAACTGAGTCCTGAAAAAGTAAAAGGATCAAAGCAAACAAGTTGTGTATAAAAGAAAAAGAACAAACCCCAGCATCTTGATTGCATGACCACCAACTATGGTGCCAGTGGTGTGTATATAAACACCAGACTTATAAGAGTAAAAGTCTGAGTACACTGAGAAAGATGCTGTAACAAAGAGTAAAACCAAATATCAGTTAAATAGAATAGTTTATTGCCTTAATGTGAAGTTTAAGATTAGTAAAAACAGAGTGGAGAAAAAAACATACTTTAAAATCAATTTTTATAGGTGAAGGTAAAGTTCACAAAAGCTATGATCTGATGGAAAGTCTTGTCTGTTAAAATAATTTTTGGATATAGTCTTGTAAGATATCATAAAATAAAACTACATGTACTTTTTAAATTACCTTCAACTGGCCCATTTGTCATGATTTCAGACTGAATGGCTTCAACCTTTAGAGACAAGTAGAGAGTTTTTTAGAAACCTTCTGATGTACAGAAACAAAAATTGATTTTACCTAGAGTTAAATGGCACCAAAATGTTTTTATGTCAGAACATATATCTTTCCTTTACACAAGCCATTAACTTCTTACCAGGGAGGCAGAAAAACAGAAATTCAGAAATTCTCCATCATTCAATTTCACAACATTAGAAGTTACTGATGCTTTCAATGTTGATGACTGTGTTCATTTTATGCATAAACTGTGTTGCTTGGTCCTATTGCACCATTACCAACCATCAATCAAGTCTAAATACGCATTTTTCAGGGACTTCAGGAGATCAAATACACTTCAACTAATCATTAACAATCACCCCTCACCAGAAAGGCATAGCAAATCATCCAAATTTAACTTGCTGGCTTGGATGCTTCCAGGTCCATCCACACTAAGGCAAAGATCTAGAGTTTTATGTACCACTTACTTCTCCTTGCACAGCATATGCATTGGCTGCCTTGTAAACTTGAAACACACCCTGACCACTGGGACACTGTGAAAGTGTGCCATTGAACTTGCAAGGTTCATCCTCTGCCTGATATGGACCATAACATTCCACAGTCAGGAGGCTGGGTGTAAAAAAAAAAGAAAGATTATCTCACATGCTTTGCAACTTCAAATTTGTTTTTGGTGTCTACTGTGCCCAAGGGAACATAGACTGCTTATTGTGCCCACAAGTCTGTCTATGGACATTTCTATCATACGTGAAAAACATCTTAAGCATTGTTTAGACCATATTGACAATAGAATACAGATAATATTGCAAATTGGCAAAGGTGCTCAGATAAATATACTTTTAAGGGCAACAAGCCATCTTACATTTCAGGATTTATGGGCCTTGTTTTTAAACCTTGATGATCCAAAATTTATAATTGATAGCCAAAAAACACAATATTACCAATTAACTGTATTCTGGAATGATTAAAATCTCCCCTAGATTTTTTCAAAAGCAGAAAAGGAAAGACAAATACTGTGCTCCGGTAATTGGTTTCTCAAATGCCAATTTCTGCTCAGAAAAAGGTGACATTCCAATGAAAAGAGAAAAACTTATGCTTTAGGAGAATATACTCAAAAAAACAGGGAAAAAGAAACAAACAAACAAAAACAAAGATCTTCCAACTGCCTAGAGTCAATCACTTTACCTTTTGCTTGCAGGGCTAAGCACAATCCATTGCACCAAGAAAATGCAATGTGAGACTGACAATGTGCTTTCTAGGAGTGCACCAAAAGTTTCAAAATATGAAGTCAAGTCACTGGACTCAATATTTCACCCCTTCATAATTCATTTTCCAAGTTCAGAGCTGATCCATTAAATTATTTTGCATACAGGTTGTGAGCCTTACACTTAACCTGTAATATGCCTGACTGCCAACCAGTGCACCAAAAATATCACACCAAATGAGCACTGAAGTTAAAAAACCACAACCTGTAGTATAATTCTGTGGGCTATCTTTTTTTAAACCAAAATTCATTTGACATAAAGTTTATACTCATCATTCTCAAGTTTAATATGTATTAGAACAGTCTGAATAAAGCAAACAGGATTAAAAAAGTGGAAACTGGGAGTTATAGCTAACATTCAGTTTCAGGTCAATCGACCGATGGCTGAGTCAGAAATAATGACAATTTACTAATCAAATTATGAGAATGAATTCCAGTTAGTTTATACTCTGCTTAACTTAACATATCTTCCACTCATCTCTACTTCATTATCAATAAGGAGTGTCAAATTTGAATGTAAAAAGAGTTTATTCTGATTTCAAATGTGGTTTCATAATTATTGAATTACACTCACCCGACTTGATTCATATACTGCCATGCTTTTATAGGATAGCCACCTGAACAACCAAAGTTATCTGTATCACAGTCGACAAGCTGTTGTGCTGACAACACCACATCAATTTTATTACCACTGGCAATAGCAAATCTGTCTGACAACGCCTCTATGGAGCAAAAACATCGCAGTTTAGGTTAGATACCAAGATCTCCCCTGAAAGTAATAGATTTAATTTAATAACACATTTATTACAAAACAATAAAATATCATTGCAAAAAAAATTAAGTACCAAGTTTTGTGATACAAGAGCATTTACCCTTATGTCCTTCATCTTTGTGTTAAAGTTAAGAGTTTTGCATCATTTTGCAGTGGTTAGTGTGGTTTCATTCCTTTTGTTTGACTTCAGATTTTCTGGAATATGGCTTCTACAGTTTTATAGCAGATTTATTTTAAGTTAATGTCTGAGACATGACCTCTGAAGTCATGGTGTCATGGCATCTAGTGCAAGCAACTGATTTTTATGGCTTTGGATATATATGGATAAACATACCTATTTCTTTTTTTTTCTACACAAACTGTATTATAATTGAAATCATTTATTTCTCAAGAATAAAAAAGATACGTTTCTCATGTAAGGTTTGTCTTGTAATAAGAGAGATATTCTGGCTGCTTTGCTTTCAAATTTGATCTGACCTATTGTTTAATTCATTGCCACAGTAGTTGCAGTTGGGCAACCCCAAAAGCCAGAACAACCAAATGACCGAATGGCAGAAAATCCCCCCAAATCCTATAGGATGAAATGCCCAAACATTACCCCAAATGCTAAAATATGAAATGGCAGAAAATTCCTCAAAATCCTTGAAGACGAAACTATAAATAGTGCACATATCCCACCCAAAACTGTATTTTCCTTTGTTGCATCATAGTTTATTCTGGTTGTGTATGTAAGTCTGTGAGATCTTTCCTTGCCCTCTTTTTGCCCTCATGAGTATAGCTTCTTTGGAAATGAAATCAATATCTGCAAAATTATCTTTGCTCTTAATGTGTAACATCATGCTATTGGCTGTCCAGTTTGTTTGAGATGATTTTCTGTGGTTGTCAAGGTGTTAAAAGTGGGTTGATAAGCTGAAATGACTCTTCCTGTTTTCATGGTTTGGTTATTTTTACAGTACATGACCCTTCAATCTTAAGTGAAACTATTGCAAGCTCTCAATAAATCTCCCAAATAAAGCCAAGGCTGCTTCTCAGTAGTTTGCCAGCTGCTCAATAAAATCTTTTTAAGGCTGGTCTCTGATGGGTTATATTGTGTGACAAAAGGCAATATGGTTAGTCGCATTTTGTCTTTCTCCTGGAGTGTTGTTTTCCTGATAGTGAAACCAACCTCTGTGACGATTCTTTAAACTAGATCATTTGGACAGCCCCTTTGGTGTAATTGTGAGTTGGAGTGTCTGATGTTCTCTTCAAAGATTATTTCTAAGATCTCTGCGGTCCTCTCCTTCAATAAATCATTTTTTCATGCCTTGAGTGTGACAGGAAGTGAATGAGAAACTTTATGGGTTTGAAATTTGTCAAGGATAGATTTCTCTTAGAATTGTTTGCCTTTAATAATTTCCTCTAATATATCTGCTATTGGCTAAAGAATGTAGTCTATTAATTACTTCTGTTGCCTGGTTGACATAATACAAGTTTTTGTTAACAGTTCCTATCCCTCAACCCTTTCCCTTGTACCAAAGGAAATGACTGTATTTATAGTTCTGTCTCATAGGATTTGGGGTGATTTTCTGCCACTTGCTCTTTTTGGATTTGGGGTATTTTTCCACCACTCTATCGTTTGAGATTTGGGTGATTTTTTGCCACTATGTTCTTTAGGATTTGGGGTGATTTTCCACTATTCTGTCTTAGAGGTTTGGGCTGATTTTCTGCTGCTCTGTCTTTTAGGATTTGAGGTGATTTTCCACCATTTTGTCTTTTAGTTCTGGGGTGATTATCTGCCATTTTATCTTTTAGGATTCGGGATAATGTACCACTGTTCTGCAATTCTGTCATTCTGCAGTTCCAGCAGTTAAAGTTGCCTGTTAAATATTACAATGTTCTGTTTGTCCTTCTAAACCTATATTTGTAAGTATCCTCTTCTGCTAAAAAGTGCTTGCTTCAGATTGTCCTTTCTTAGTCTGATGCGCTGCATTTATCGGAAATTGACGAGAAGCGAACTTCAAAACAGGATTTAGAAATGTGTTTGTTTACATTTTAGCATATGTGAATCTCAGTGGCAATGGTAGTAACATATAATTTAGCTTGATGAAGGCCTTGGAGGGCACTCAATGCAACTCCTTGTTCAGTCTGAAATTGTTAGCACGAGCCCATCTTGATGATTGGTCAGTGTGATATCAGATTCCCAGAGGTTGGTATTTCTGAAAATTAACTATTCACCAAATCTAGTGTGAACTATACTGTATGTAAAATTTGACCAGTAAATACACCGAACTATACAATGTGGTCCACACTAGATTTGGTAAATAGTTAATTTTCAGAAATACCAGCCTCTGGGAATCTGATATCACACTGACCAAGAGATGCTTGATTTTGGTTTTATTGTATATAACCACATGAATTTGTAACCTAACCCATTCAATGCGGTCTCTTCCAAAACTGAAACTGGAGAATTTCCAGAAAATTTTAACTTTCAATGAGGTTCAAACCCATGCCTCTCAGTTACTAATTACAACTGATTACTGTAACCAACCAGCCACAAAGCCACATGTTTGCAGTAACGAAAATGTTGGCAGGTTTTTCATTCCCTGTTAGTTGACCTTCTCTCTATAAGAGAATACATACCCCTCTGTACCCTTAACCAAGAGATAAAGCAAACTTTTTTAGAAAAAGGAAACTGGGAGATTTGTTGTATATTTGGGTGACTCCCAAATAAACAAAGTCAGTAAGCACACATTAAATTAATCCCAGTAACATGTAGTATAATTTCTTCAATCTTAAAATTGTAAAGCATGTTACTTTACAGTTCACACTAAATGTTATAGTTTTACAGATATACTGATTATTGCCGCTTATCAGCCAAGATTTGAGGAATGTTTTCACTCAGCTCCAAAAAGCCAGTATGAATTAATGGAGAATACATTTTTTTCAGGTTCATATTGCATCTATCTTTACTTTTGTAAAATGGACTATATCAACTCACTTTATTATGCATGATATTACTCCTAGAGATGTGAGCTTTCCTAATCCAAAATGCAATATTCTAATGCCATTCAAAATAAAAATGGCAAGTCATGGGGAATCACATGGACTAAAAATCCAAGTAGTCACTAGCTGTAGGTTTAATTGTAAATTTATCCCAACTAAAATTGTAGTTAAGGTAGACCCACCTGAAGCTCCAAATGCCCAACAACTTCCACAATTACCCTGTTCAGTTGAATATGAAGTTGAATTTGAAAGAAGTAAGTAGTTGTTAGTAATTGTAATGAATCAAAGTATTTTATATAAGTATTGCAGGCACAAAAAATAGATCTTGAATTCCATTGCAATACATTTTCCTTATCTCCATTCAAAAACACCTTTACTGAATCTCAGTAAAGATTACCTGATCCCTTATCGGGTGAATGGAGCCAGGCCACTTTGTACGTGCATCAAAGCTTCCAGGAATATCACTGACAATGTCTTCTTTGATGACCTTGGGAGGAGAGTCTTTGGGCCATCCACCATAACTCCCTAACATTTGCTTTGCTTCCTTCCAGTTCATTTCTGTAAACTGCTTATAAACAGTAGCATGCCAACTGGATATAAAATAGACAGCTTATATCAGTACAAACAATCTTACTCTTGCAAACCTAGGAGGTCTGCAATCATCGTGTCATTCATACATACTTTATATAATTGGCCCTATCTCATTTTGGCTGACATGAAAACATTTCAGGAGAGATCCTTTGAGTCCCTGTGCATAGCATCCAATCTTGCTTTACCCACAATCAGCACTCAGAAGTTGTTAAGAACCTAGAAGTGTAGAATGTTTTGTTCTACAAATTTAAATTGTTTATTTAAATAGGCATGGTGAATGTAAATTGCACTTCAGTAAAGTGACTGAAAGACTCTTAGCCTACAACCACAATTTTCTTAGAAAAGATAAAATGTAAAACAGCAGTTGAGACTGAAAATAAATTGGGGGACACCAATGAGAGTCAATTGTTCCAAGAAATCACATGAAGTAATGCAGGTCATGTGGTATCATGTGATGGGCACATTTAGCCTCATGGAAGACATGAAAACCTAAGACTGATAACAAAGCTAGTTAAAATAAATATACGCAGATGAAAAAAAAGAAGGAATGTTTGCATAGTATTTAGAGAAAATAATGAATAAAGAATGGGAATAGAAAGTAAGATCTTCATATTACTGACTGAGTGGTTGGCCAAGAAAGCTGGAAATTCATTAAGTTTTTTGTAGCATTTCTCTTGATCAAGATTGTGTCAAACCATTTATAGGAGAAATCCCAAAACCTAATGGGTCTGGATAAATGGAATTAACAAAAAAAATTTTTCCAAAAGCTGTTCACAAGAGTAGCACCATGAATACGAAAGCGATCTTCGCAGCAATGAACACTATTTAAGCAGTAGTGAAAATAAGGCCAGAAAAAAATTCAGGCTAGTACGGGATTTGAACCCATGACCTCTGCGATGCAGTAGAGCACTGCACTAGTATTCAAATTCTGCACAAGTCTGAATTTTTCTCAGGCCTTATTTTCACAACTGCTCAAGTAGTGTTCATTACTGCGAAGATCGCTTTCATATTCATGGTACTACTCTTGTGATCGCTTTCATAACGTCTCTATCCGCAGTTTCAATATATGACTTTCATATATTCACAGTCGTTTAAAAGGAGTACCATCTTCCCAATTATGAAACATTAATTGAATCACACATTCCACTTCTGAAAGAAAGAGAACATCAGTATTTAAGTGACATAAACCGTCGATATGCCAATTTTAAGACGAAAGAAATTAAAAGACCAATTTTCTATTTTCTGATTTCAGCAGTAAATTCACCTTTTCCGTTCCTGTTGCCTCCTTTTTCACGGAATATGATACAAAATGACATTACGTTTCTGAATAGGCAGAATTCTTGACACATACCCCACATTTAACGAGTTGATCTTCTCAACCATCTCTGGGGAAGAAACATGGAGCTCTTCTGTACTCCCTAAACCGCTGCTAGCGAACACCAGCGAAAGAAAACTGATAATCAGATGATGATCCATTCTTCTTCGTCACCTCCAGGAAATGTAACAAACTTGTTCCAACGCGCGAATAAAACTACCAAGAGTGAAACTCCTGAGTGTCACGAGATGAGGAAGTGAAACCGCACACCACACCACATATTTGGCACCTTCAGCGAGTGTGTTTTAGTACCCTACCGGACTGTTGACACATTCCTTAACTGGCGCAAATTTCAAAACAGCCTGTGTACAGCCAATCTGGAGCCCAGGGTCATTTTGACTCCTTTTCAGCGGTATGGCCTCTGGGAGGATTCCGGTTTCAACTGCGCATGTTTAGATTGTCAGTATGAGCACACGGTCTGCTACGCCAGCGGAAGAAGGAAAGAACTAAAATTACGTAAAATTACGACTCATCGTAACTACTCGAAGATGTAATTTAAAAACCAGAAGAAAATACCGAGATTTTTCCTCTGCACCTTCCGATGCTCCTGGAAGTTTGGAAGTGAAAGAAAAAAGGATCATTGAAGGCCTTTTACGCTGCTTTTTCGTTATTTTCAGGTTCCCGCGCGAGGTGAATCGATTGCAGGCTTTGAGCAAGCAGGGCGCAGCAGTTTCATGTAATTACTCGGGCTTTCCAAAGGAAACACTCGAGTTGCAATTCCGGCGTCGTTTTTTTTCTTTTTTCGTTCGGTCGCAAATCGCAGTCAAGTCCTCATCACGTATCCGAAGCCTTTTGATTTTTAATGCATGCGCGACGTTTTGAGTAATGAGCAAATGGCATTGTGTAATGGCGGACGATGAGAAGCTTTCGCGGTGCAAAATCAGCATAGACACTGTATATAATACGCTCAAAACGCATACAAAATATGTACACATCGTTCGCGGTAGACCCGCGCTAAAAGATGTCGAGCGTTTTCGGAACGGGTCGGTCCGCGAACCTTATGAGAGATCTCTTTATGAACGGACATTTATGAGCGAACCTTTCATCGAGAAACACGCTATATCAACTGAGCTATCTAATGTTAGTCGAGAGAAGCATAGACGTAAATCTCATCGCGTATGTAGACCTGATCGTGAACTCAGCAGAATACCAATACGAAGTTTGAAAAGGTTAAGGAACGAGCATAAAGGTTAGGAAATTTGTTTATGCACGTATTCTCTCATGAATTGTACTGTCATGTTAATGCTAAAAACACTATTATATAAAAGGACGTTTAAGTTTAACTGTCTTGAAAGGATTCGTCAAAGTATAAGAAAGGTAAGATATCGTGCCAGTCGATATTTAACATTGTTTTCTTGTAACAAACTGATGTGTTCTTGCGAGAATGAGGCTCGTGTGGCAAATTATTGCAACTATAAATTATGAAAAAAACAACATACAGTCAAGGTAACGAGTTAGTTTTTGGACAGAATGCAGGACAACAATGTTGCAGGGATCAGCTCTGCAAATGATCTTATACAAATAATGGATATTGGAAATCAGCTTTATTCAAGTTTGCCATGATTAGCCAGGTAGGCATGTTTAATGCGGTCAGAATTACCAATAGCATTAAATGTGTTTGATACTGATCATCAACTGGAATACAGTGAAAGCTACTCTGGTACTGTTCACCAAGAAATTGTTATAGAAGGATATCAGTTTGTCTTGTTTAGCCAGGTAGGCATGTTTAATGTGGTCAGAATTACCAACAGCATTAAGTGTGTTTGATACTGATTATCAACTGGAATACAGTGAAAGCTACTCTGGTTCTGTTCACCAAGAAATTGCTATAGAAGGATATCAGTACTTTACGTCTTTACGAAGGGCCTTTGAGTCACTCATATCCAATAGCTACCCCAATTTCTTATTAACAGTAGGGTGTATTACTGTTGCAACCTATTGTAATAGTAATATGGGGTTCAAAATATTTGATTCTCATGCTAGAGTTTTGTATTCTTGTTGGATGACAATTTCTTCTATTATACCCTTGAAATATTATCATTGTAATTAGTAGATATCAAGTCCTATGAAAAAATATTACAATCTTGCAGTATGTCTTTTTCCTCACTGCTCATATACAGAATGAAAAAACTTGGATAATTTTCATATGCAAATGAAAATTTGTAATTATTGTAATTAGTAGACTCTGGATTTTTTTTACATGATCAACTGCTACAAACTAAACAGTCATTTTTTATTCGTGGGTGAATGAAAATAATGGTTTTGATTAGAGTGATTTCAATAAGCCTGGGTATTGCTGATGAATTACATTAGTGTTATTAGATGCTAATTGCTTTGTGACCTTTTGTTTCTTTACATATTTTAGAGTGATATTCATAAAGAAATAAAGAAATGACCATTTAGTTCGTAGGAGTTCATAAAGAACAAAAGAAAACAAAAAATTAACAATACACTGCTAACAATTAGTTACTCTATTTTTTCAAAGAAAATGAAAAATACTCTTAACACTAACAGTTAATTCGCACTCACCAGGTATTGTGAAACCACTCCAACCAATAAACCAAAATGTATTAACTAAAGAATACTAGCCCAGTAACTCCAAATGGAAACAAACAAATTGGAAGGAAATAGTACAGAATATGCTAAAATGTATTTCACACATTCACGAGAACCACTCCAACAACCTCATAAAATTAATAGTTCATCTGGTAATAACCTTTGGTAGTGACTTATTGTTTTCTTTTGGTTAAGAGTCATCACCCTAGCACTTGGGGCTGTTTGTAATTAAAAGCTATCTCGACCTGAAACTTTTTTCAACCAAGAAAAAGAAAACATAAGAAGACAGCCTGTCTGGCAAAAGAATTGCCCTGCTACAACCCTTAACCCGCAAAACAAAATTTAACTAATTCAATACTAAAAAAAAAAAAAAAAAAAAAAAATTGAAATAATAGCCAATTATATATGGCACTACCTGCCCCTACCCCACCAGAAAAGGGTCTTTACACTGAAGAAAAAATTGCCGTTTTCAGCTCGGCATACATGTGTCAGAAACCTGCATCTCTTGCATACCAAGAGAAAAAACAGTTACAGGAGAAATCAATAATTGCGTAAAAAAAAAACTTAGGCAAATGCAGGCACAAAAAACAAAGTTTACTTCCAATAGAAAGCCTGGGTGAATGCAAATATGCATCTAGTTTAAAAGAATTGGGCCTAGAGGAAATTAACAGGAACAACAGCAAACTCTAGAGGTGATTGGTTTAGATTCCAGAGAAGTCCTCCTGCCTCTGCTCCTGATGCAAAAGCTGATGATTCTACAGGTGACTGCACTTGAGCTGGGATGACTACAAAGAAAAACAGCAATGTTTTAAAATTATTATGAAAACACCTATTTATTTGAAACTCTTATAAAAACACCCATTTATTTGTTACTAACATACGACATACCTTAGACAACTTTCCCAACTTTTCCTTGATCTACTTAACAATGAAAACATGCCAAACGAGTTTCTTTTGACATTGCTTTGATATTCTGCTGTCATTTTAATGTACTTTTTTATTCTTTCAAGTGAGAATGAAATTATTTTACAACTATTGTATGATTTACTTGTTCCAAAATAACTTTAGGAAGCAAAAATAAAAGTTGCAAATTTTTGAGACTATTACTTGACCTTGAGTTCACTGAAAACATATGCATATGAATCAAATACCCTCATCTCTTTTAAAAATCAAGAGAAGACAAGCAATGATGTAGTTTGAACCTTGAAAACATCACAAGCTTTGAGTTTGCTCTAGCATGTTTCTTTTACATGATTCAGTTTGCCAAATCAAGCTACAGGTTGGTTGTATTTTTATGAAGAAAGAAAACATATGGAAGGTTCACATTTTGCGGTTTTTAAGCTTGTGATGTTTTGAGGTTAAACTTATATCATTACTTCACTAAAAAGAAGGATAGAGTAAATTTATTTCTTTCAGTCTGACAAGTTTAAGCTCAAGTCTTAATTTTTTAAATATTGCTTGTAATTACTAAATTGGTACTCACCTTATGATTGAAGTGTTCAATATCAAGGTTGAAAGTAATGTGTTTTTGGACAAGGTTCAGCTCCCAGCATTGGGTATTCATCACATAACCATATATCACACACACTGGAAGTACTTGACTTCTATCTTCTTGTACAACAATATACTCACAGTGGCCATGCAAGTCCAGAGCTCAACCTTCATTTCTTTAAAAAGCTGCTCCAACTGAAATCTTCAAGGTAATACTTGTTACTATTCCTTGTTACAAGTAAGACAAAAGCCACCAGTTCCAGATTTCTGTACACACGGGCTTCTGCATTGTTCATCACTCGCCTCAAGAAACTGATATTAGGCACATGCTTTGACACTACAAGTAGGTAGCAACATAATAAGTTTTGCTTTTGCAGCTGGAAAGCTTGTTTGTGAGTCAAGTCAAGTACTTCCAGTGTGTGTGATATATGGTTATGTGATGAATACCCAATGCTGGGAGCTGAACCTTGTCCAAGAACTCATTACTATCAACCTTGGTATTGAACACTCCAGTTGTAAGGTGAGTATCATTTTAGTAAAATGGTGAGTATCACCACTGATAATATGTGAACCTTTCATGTGTTTGTTTGTTTTTTTTTTTTTCACATAAAACAACCAAACCCCAGCTTGACTTAGCTTGATTTAGATTTTTCTTCCTAAAGTTATTTTGGAACAAGTAAATAGTACAATAGTTGTTAAATAATTTAATTCTCAGTTGAAATAATAACAAAGTAAGTTAAAATGACAGAAAATATCAAAGCAGTGACAAAGAAACTTGTTTGGCATGTTTTCGTTGCTAAGTAGATCAAGGAAAAGTTAGGAAAGTTGTCTAAGGTATATGTTGTGTTAGGAGCGAATAAATAGTTGTTTTCATGATAATTTTAAAATATTTCTGTTTTTCTTTGTAGTCATCCCGGCTCAGGTGCAGTCACCTGTACAATCATCAGCTTTTGCGTCAGAAGTAGAAGCAGAATGACTTCTCTGGAATCTAAACCATGTTCCTTTTTAATTTCCTCCAGGCCCAATTCTCTTAAAGTAGATGAAATTGTTGCACCACTGAAACTGCTCAATTAGTCACGATGAGTCCTAAGTTCACCTACACAAAGATAAATTAAGCACTAACTTAACAATATAGATATGCGCCCTACCAGAGGTCTATTTGCCCATTTGGCCTTGGGGAATTATCTACTCAATACATGTTATGTCCTATACTTTAGATACATACAGTAATGTCCATAACAATTCCACATACATGATACACTTACATATTTGACGACCATGTCGCAGACAAGAAACCTGCTCGAGATTGCCTCCTTTCCTTAAAAGAAAATCGGGAAGGGGCGGAGGGTAGGGGGGGCTGTACGCAGGCTAAACAACATGATGGCCGTGAAAAATACTGTGAGGTGGAAGGACTTTCCTTGCTGGTTATTGATCAAAAGGTAGCAATGTGAGATGAAGTCAAGTTTGATTTCTTTTAGAAAATAAAATCACTTATCGGTCTTCTCAGATTCTTCTTAGGTCAACCACCCCTCCCCTCCTCATCCTGCTTCCTGTTGTTGCAGTAACGTGAGAGGAGAGTATGTATTAAGATAACTAGGCTTTATCATAATGGTCGAGTGGGCCCCGTTGAGGATTCCGATAAAAAGACGAATCCAGACTCTGGTGGTGATGATTCAAGTGTACATGTTTCTATTTGGTCATATATTTGGGACCGTTTTACTTGTGGTTCTTCTATTTATTCCTTATACCACTTTTGTTGCTGTTGTTTACGTTGGTTGGGCATTCATCTTAAATGTTCGGACCCCAAGTCGCGGAGGACGCACAATAAAAGTTGCTCGAAGGTGGAAAATGTGGAAATATTTCTGCGAATACTTCCCCATCAGGTTGGTTAAAACTGCGGATCTAGACCCCGAAAGAAACTACATATTTGGTTATCACCCTCACGGAATTATTGGTCTCGGTGCACTTGGTAATTTCTGCGGAGAAGCAACAGGCTTCTCAGTAAATTTTCCAGGGATCCATCCACATCTATTGACGCTCTCGGTGAATTTTAGGTTCCCTTTTAGCAGAGACTATTGCATGGCTTTTGGTGTTTGTTCAGTTGATAAAGACAGTATAGAGTACATTCTGCAAAAGATGGGCCCAGGTCATTCAGTCGCCATTGTAGTAGGAGGTGCAGCGGAATCATTAGAGGCAAGGCCCGGAAACTTTACGCTAACGCTGAAACACAGGAAAGGTTTCGTGAAGCTGGCCTTACGTTCAGGGTACGTATTCGTTTTTAATTCTGGCCAGAAGAAGTGTTCTTATGTAAAATTAGTACTTGGATAAGTGATATCTGTGTGATCTTTGCCAACCACATAGTGTTCAATAACTGAGGGGTTTGAACGTGCATATGAAATCTTAGCGAGTTGGGTTGTTAATCAACATGCTGAAATGTTTGTGTTTGTCTGTTTGTTGCATGTTCAAAAGTCAAGTACAGAGTTTTTCTTTTCTTTTCCAATTTGCTTTGGGGTCACTCATTTGGCAAAGGTTGAAAAGATTGGTATTTTATAGTTAATTGTATTTCTGTTTTTACTGCCCTATTCATTAGCCATTTCTTTCTTTTGGAAGTTCTGTAAGTTTTATTCTTGTGTTCAAATTGTATTTTTCCACCACCTTGCTGTTGTTATTGGCTCTTTTGGTTATTTTTCCCTTTATCAAATTATTCTCTGCGGCAAACTAAGTTTATCTCATTTCTCCACCCCGCTATTTAAGCATTTCCCAAGCAATCTTAATGTACTTAATATATTTATTTACAAAATTTGCTTCAGCTAACTCAGAGTTTGGATTAGCATGTTTCTGTTCTTTGCAATCAACATTCAGTTCATCAAGGAATTTAACCACAGAGTGCAAAGCTAGATAGACAATAGTCCATCACTAAGCACACATCCTTATACCCACAATACACCACACAAAGTAGTCTGTGTCACAGGCCTTATGGTTTGGGGACAATAAACCTTCCCTAGCGGCCAATCCACTGTTCCTAGCTCTCTACAGGGCTTCTTTTGCCCAATATTTTCCCTCCTGAAATGCCTGAAATGTGTAAAGAAAGTAATCCTAATAATGGCACTTCTGTTCATGAAACTCGCACATAATTTTCATCAATCATTTTAATTATAACTTAAATTTAAACAATATTTTCATGATGCTACAGTCAAAGGGAACTTTTTGTTTCATCTTGGCATTTCAGAGCATCTCTAGTGCCTGTATTTTCCTTTGGTGAAAACAACCTCTATGATCAAGTGAGTAACCCCCCTGGATCTGCTTTGCGTCAGTGGCAAACTAAGATGAAAGATCTGATGGGTTTTGCACCTCCACTTTTTCATGGTCGAGGGGTATTTCAGTACACTTTTGGATTACTTCCTCACAGACAACCCATTCACACTGTCTGTAAGTAAATAATAAGACAGATCATCAAATAGTTAACATACTGACCTTATTTCACTGGATATCTCAATAACATATTCTATTAATGCAAATTTTTTTGATACATTCACATTAGTGTTCAGTTTGTTTATATTCTACAGCTTTGTTATTGCATTCTCTGTTTTTGTGCATTCATGGTGACTAAAAAATTTTGATACTTAGTCTGCAGACTTGATATTGAATGCTGACTGCAGAAAATTGTTAAAGATCCCATGATTTCATAATTAAATAGAAGCATGTCATAAATCAAGTCATGATGCTATTATCCCACTGTAGAGTCTGCTATCAGTACTGACTTTATGTATTACTGGTATTTCATTTTTTTAGTTGGTGCACCAATCAAAGTAAAAAAAACTCAAACTCCTTCACCAGAAGAGATAGATAAAATTCACCAACAGTACATAACAGCATTAGAGGAGCTCTTTGAAAAACACAAGAAAAACTATGGCATCTGTGAAAACAAACATTTGCAAATTTGCTGAGTCAAGTTTTTCATCATTATACTCAATGACTATGTTTTAAAAGTTAGTAAATTTTGAGGTCTACAGTTTTATAAGTGTAAAGATCAATGAAGTACATTAGTCATTCTATATTCCTATTCACATAAAATCTTTTACATATATAGTAAATCTTTTCATGAGCAAACTGGGTCAGTCAAGATGGTTGGATGTCAGTGTCATTCCCTTTTTTTCCTTTTTAAGGACCTCTTCATCTGGGTTTAAAAAAAACAACTAATATACAGTCATCTTGACTTTACGTGTGGTCAATAACGCATGTATATTGTTCAATTTGTTTCACTATTATGTGTGAACAGTAAGTTTGCTAAGGTGTTTTGGAAGTATTGCCTTGTGAAGCAGGCTATTTTAACTTCTAGACATTGTGAGTTTAATGTGAAATGATTTATCAAGTAGACATAGGACATAGGAGCCCCACTTACAGGGCAATAAAATACCTCCTCAACAAAGTCATTGTCGTGAAGTAAGTCAAACTTATTTGTATTAGTTAAAGGACTTTCTTTAGTCTTCATTAGATGTGTAGTTGCTGTGTTGCTGAACATGCATTGAGATTACCCAGAAATAATGAATGTGGCTAAGTGAGCAAAATATGTTATATAAATTTACAACACTCTTACCTGCATCTCACTACATTTACTGAAAAGTATGTTAACTATATTTTCTTACTTGAAAAACAGGAAGCAATCTGTGAGGTTAAAGATTTAACAGTTTAATTTATTGCTAATAGTTTATTGTGAAATAGGAGACAATGCCAAGTTCTGAAAATGTTGTAATAAGTTGTAAGAAATCTGTAATACTTTCACTACATTTACAATTATTTATTGTGGAAATAGAAGGGCCTTCAAGACTAATACAGAAATTTATTGATCACTGAGAAACAAAGAGCAATGAAAATCACCCAAAAAATGTCTTAATTTGAATTAAAAAAAACAACTTACAAAGACTGAGAAAAGGTGACCCTTTCTTGACCCAAAGAAAGTTGTTTGCCTTACAAGATCTGTACATCTTTTTGTATATATCAATAAATATAATGATGATGACATTACCTCTGTAGTGCATATACATTCTTATCCACCTTGAGCTCCATAGTCAAAGTTTTTAAGTGTTGAAGGTAATATGAGTGTCGAATGAGTGAATTAGTTTCAAAGTCTTCTTTCTTAGTTCTAAGAAATCTACCTCATTTGTGACTGATACAACAAGTAAAAGGGCTTTATGTCATTTGGAGCCAGGGTAAATTATATTTGCTTATGATGTTGAAACAAATTTGAAATTATATACCATCATGAGGATCATTGCTAAGATTAGCTATGTGGGCAATTACCGACCTCAAAATTTACTGTCTTTCTTACTTAATTTTCAAGCTTGACACTCTTGACTTTGTTGATACTATAGCAGTGCAAAGGACACGTCACATATGAACCTGGTAATGGCAACGTAGCAGCAAAACGACTGCACATGCTTGTAACACTTGAAATTTTTGCTCAAAAAGGAATGGGATTGACAATATTTCCATAGTAACACTGTAGTGGCAACATGGCAGCATTATTGAAATTCATAGTTTGTTTTTATTTTGTGGGGATAGGCCCCAGCATCAACAGATAAGGTTCCCATTTTCAAGATGTTTCTTTCAACATATCTTTCCCAGCAAAAAAATTTTTTGGCTACAATTGTGAATTTTATTAATGAAGTTGAGCATTTGTGTTATAGCAGTGACATGGCAGCATTAATAAAATTCATAGTTTGTTTTTATTTTGTGGGGATAAGCCCCAGCATCAACAGATAAAGTTCCCATTTTCAAGAAAGTTTCTTTTAACATATCTTTCCCAACAAAAAATTTGTTGCTGACAATTGTGAATTTTAGTAATGAAGTTGAACATTGTGTTATAGCATTTGTTTTTATTGCCTCTTCAGAAGGCAAACCGTTCGGTGAAAAGGTTTGTTGTCTAGACAAAAAACATGCCATAGCTCTACTTGTGGAGGAAGAATTATTACCTTAAACACTGAAATGGGAGAATAGGGAAATTTTGTGTGTGAATTTCATCATCAGCAGTTATGAAAAAGGAGCAACATCTGTTTGTAATACGCCCATTCCCTTGAGACTGTACAAGCTGTATGATGAAGCTGGAAACAGCAAGGCTTGTTATCAACCAGGGATACGGTGCACACAATTAAGTTGTCAGAGAAACGATAAAAAAACATTTGCCATGAAGACCACTTTTAAATAGCCAGTCAGGACAAAAACATTAGATACAATCAAAATCATATTCTAGGTTTAAATACTTCATTCGTGTACATAATAAACAAAATAAATGATGACGTAATTCTCACCTTGTTTGCATGAGAAGATCAACAACTTAAACAAAAATATTCATGGAAAATGGAGATGGAGTGCCTTGCAAAATTCCGTCGGGGTGCCAGGCAGACTTGACAGATGGTCAGAGTGATTAACAAGCTAGCACAGTTAAATGTGTGCTTCAAAAGTCTCTGCTCTACCACAATTCAATGGCCTAACAGAGAGAGGCGAGACTTTACTTTTCAGACTGGTCAACCCAATTTATCAACACCATTAATGGTAAGTACCATACTTATGCCTTGACATAATGTAAGAAAGGTAACCAATCCATCACATTGCCACTAATCATAGTTATGCTATGATTGCACCTGCAAGGTCAAATATCTCCAGGACAACATCAATCAAGTAACAACATACTACTGATAAAGGTCCTGTACTGTGTGCTCATATTTTACAAGTAAACACATGCTCATTGTTGATAATATTTCTATATATCTTAGAGTCTGATCTCATACATTATTATGTAATTTTGCAGAGTTGGCAGAAGAATTTCAGTCAGCCTTGCACAGGCACTATGAGAGTAGGGGTTAATCTCTATACAGCTCTGATGATATGCAGGCATTTTGTGAGACTCATGCACCACATCTCCTTTACGTCCTCATCAGTACAACAGTGCATGCAAGTGGACATGCAACTAGTTAGAGACATTCAAATATACAGCAGCTAAGAATAGTTACACTACTTCATATATTTTCTAACTGTGGGGAATTACTTCAAACCTCAATGTAACTGCTTCAAGTTCTGCCATTCAAAGAATAACAATTTATTATATTTTAATGATTTACGAAATTTCTATCTCAGCTTTATTCTGAGAGTGTCAGCAGTCACTTAAACAAAACTTGATTTGATCTTGAGTATGATAGCGGGAATAATATGAATTTTCCCCTAGATCCCAAAAAAACATCACATCTCCAAGAATAGGCTGAAACGTTCCAGGTCTGCACAGAATGCAGGGAGAGTCTTGGGCTTTAGCACTGAAATATGTATGAATGACATGGTTAAACAGTAGCAGGCAAAACAACTAGGTATAAGGAAGTTGCGGACGAAACTGTGCTTACAGCCTGCAAGATAACGAAGAACAAATACAATGAACAATAAACATGAAAAGTATGTAACAATATGCAGGAAGCGTGTCATATGAACTTCGTAATAGGCCTCGCTCACCGTAGAGTCTCTGTGGCTCAGTATCCAAAGGTGTGTCTCAGGTTCGATTCCTCATGGGGACTCAGAATTTTTTTCTTTGTCCCATGCTCTTGACAAGACGAAAAACATCTTTCTTAAACATAAACATTTTTGAAAAACATAAGCAATCAACCAAATTAATATGTTTTTTTTTTCATACCAAAAATCTTGTTATCCATTCAATTAATGATTTTGATGTTACGAATGTGCCTACTAAACCAACTGGTAACGCCAGTTCGGCAATCGGTTCCCCATCTACCATAAAAACTCGTACATAAGCCGCACCCCTAATTTTCAAGCATGGTTTTGGAAAAAAAAAAACTCCAGAAAAGCACTCTCGTAAAAACAAAGTTGGTCGCTTGTTCATAGATGTGTATTTGCGGCGACATTAAGTGGCGATCTCTGAAAGAACGGTCCAGGGCATTTCGCATCGGAAAAACGTTTTCCCTCAAACTTTGCCCAATAAACTATCTTTGGTAGCAAGTAACCACGTTAGTTTCTGGAAATAAATTCAATAAATCTTAGATTTTAACCATTTTAAGTTAAAAAGATAGTAGGACAGAGCTTTTAGACCGCACCGATTAATACTCTAAACATTTCAAAAGGCCAGAATTTGACAAATTTTACTATCTCGTGATGAAAGACGTCAACAACAAGGCATCAAATATCATAATTTGATTAGCGCTCGTTCAACATTTTTATGGCAAACTCTTTTTCAAAAATTTGGCTTCAGCTATTTCGTATTTGAGTTCTGACAGCTTACGCTATTCAAACCTGTATGAACATTTCAGAACCAAACTACAGGAGTCTATTCAGTGTAACCGGCGATGACAGCACATACTAAAATACACCGTGACCGGTGACTCTGCCACGTAATTTAATAGTTATTATCATGAATTACTTCTCCTTTCCAAATAAAGCAGCGATAACATCGTTTTTGGATCAAAATTCGGAGCAACTTCAGAATACCCCGCAACTCATTTACATGTCATTGAATAAGAATAGCGTCTATTGTGTTATGCCTCGATCTTCAGAGCCTCCCGACACATGTAAGTGAGGCGGACCAAAGTTGCGGGGTATTCTGAAGTTTAGCCCAAAATTCTTGTAGGCAGGAGTAAGAGAAATTTTTCTGCACACTTGTCTTTAAGACAGTTTTATTCAAAACTTTAGCATAGATCCAATTCAAGTCTTAAATGCATGCATTGATAGCCTCGAAGATGCTGCACAAAAGCCCAGGATTACACATTTGGAATCCCAAGCAGATTGTTGGGGGAAATGCTCCTTTCCTAAGAAATCTGAGTTTGCTCAAAAAGTTAGGGAAGAGTGCCAGCTGATGTGCGAAGTCATGGCTCTAAAAGATGCTAAAGTGTTATGACCATGAACAGAAGTACAAGGCAGCTGTTAATGTTAGCCTTCAAACCCTTATGGTCGCCTATCAGAATGCTCCCACAAAATCACTTAGACTCAAATACTGAGTGTTTATGCTGATAGATTCTCATCTAACGAGCTTAAACGCATACATAAGCCATTTGAAAACCTCTCCGATAGACAAAAAGGCAAGAGCACAGGCGATGAGTGAGATGCCTGTTGAAAAAATCCCGCGTCACAGAACACAACAGCGTCAGCTAGACCACTTCTTAGAGTTGACTATGAGGCCATATTACTATCAAGACGTAGCCTACGGCACTCGCACCATCAAACTTGAGAGCGTCGAAGAATTTGTCAGACCTAACATGGTGCGCACAGTGGTCAAGTGCACCATCATTAAACAATACATGGACCATTGCAAAGAGAATGGATTTGAACCGATAAGTAAATCCACGATGTGGTGAGTACTAGAAGTTCAAGAGGCCACACAGAAGAAATCATTGCGAGGTCTAGACAACGCTTCAGCTGAGGGAGCAGATGGTTTTAAGAATTTCTCCAAATTATAGACGAGCTGGAACGCGTGGGAGCAGAAAAAGGATTGGTGTAAAGAAGTTCGGATTAGGCTTCAGGAGAGCAAGTTGTATTTCAAGGCTACATATAGTAATCAATTCAAAGAGGACGATAGGAAATGTGCCAATCACTGTAGGGTCTTTGCGCCAAGCGATGCTGGTGATACTGACTTTCACAGTCACAACGTAAAGTGTGAGTATTGTGAGAAGCTAAAGAGTGTTCTTGAAGAGGTAAGAGGTGCTTTTTAAGAGTACACAATGCAATTGGGTAAGGTTCAAGCAGAAGACCATCTGTATGAAGCAAAAAATGCTGCCGCTAAGATCTTTGAATGGAAAGGGCATATCCTGAGAGCTGAGAACCAGAATCAGT